ATCTCCGAGGGGGAGTTTTTCTTGAAGAATATGGCTGATTTATCCGATTTACCAAGCGTCCGGATCCACGATGATATCTCGTCGAGAATCTCTACGGTCTGTCAAACCCCTCCTTGCGATGCTTGAAAATACTATGCGGTCATCCAAAAAAGAGCAAAAAGCGATATCCGTGGGGAGTGAACTCCAACTCTTATACCCCTTGATATGTACATGGACCAACAATTTTCAAAGATACAAGATAAACCCTCGAGCATAGCAAGAATAGGTATGGGGAAATGGGATCCCCTTGCACGATTCCTCTAGATGGTCCGAAGGTATCGATCAATACGCCATTGATTTTGATAGTGAAACAAACTGTTGTTACACACCTCATAATCTGGTTCACAAAATCAAGCATGAAAACCAAGTTTTAGCATGATCCTTCTAAGATACTCCCACTCTACACGATCATACGCCTTGGCCATGTCCAATTTCACAAAGACATGCTCCAGATTTCCCTTTCTTCCTTTTCAGATAATGGATGCACTCATAAGCTATGAGTACATTGTCTCATTATCAAGCGCCCAGCACAAAGGCGCTCTGCTCTTCTACAATAATATCATCTAAGAATTCACGCATTCTCATAGCCAGAACCTTTGAGCATAACTTGTACAGAACATTACATAAAGAAATAGGTCTAAATTCTTTCATAACCTGAGGATTTCTTGTCTTGGGAATTAAAATAATGGTAGTAAGGTTAATATCATCCAGCATACCTCCACCATTGAGAAAATCCAACACCGCTGTTGTGATCTCGTTGCCCATCAAATCCCAGTGTAACTGGTAAAAGCCAGCTGTAAATCCATCTGGCCCCGGGGCTTTGCTCGGCTTCATAAGTTGCAAAGCTTGCTCAACCTCCGCAGCTGAGTAGGGCCGTAGCAGCCGGTCATTCATCTCAGTCGAGACCTTGGGAAACACGTGATCAAGCACCAGGTCCGGCAACAACTCTTCCTGGGCCGAGAAGAGCTGGCGGTAGTAGTTAGTAGCGATCTCCTCTATTTCCGCCTGCTCCGTTGCCATCGACCCATCTTCTCTTCGCAGAGCCATAATTGTATTCCTCTTGGCCCGTGCTCGTGACTTAGCTTGAAACATCGCCGTATTGCGATCTCCATCCTTAAGCCAATCAAGACGCGCTCTCTATCTTTCCATAATTTCTTCTCTTGATAGCATTTCAGACATCCACGCCATAATTTGTTGCTCGTGTCTAGAAGGTCCCGAGCCCAGCGATTGCCCTCGGACTTCCTCCAGCTCACGCCTAAGAGTTGCCAACGCCTTCCGCACCAAGCCAAAGACGTCCTGCTCCCAGGTCTGTAGTGAGGACTGCACACCTTTCAGCTTTGTGTGCATGTCTCCCAATCTAGTAGCTCCTCCATTCGATGACCAAGCATCACAAATAAGAGCCATGTAAGAAGGGTCACGCTGCCACATGTTTTCATAGCGAAAATTTCGCTTTCGTCTTCTCCTGTTCAAGGAGTGTTCCAAGCATTCTACCACCAGTGCACAGTGGTCTGATATTGTCGTTTGAACATGCCAGACCTTAACTTCGCGGAACAAGTCAAGAAAGTCATCATTTGCCAACCCCCGGTCCAACCTAACCTTTATGTTGTGAGCATCATCTTGCCGGTTGTCCCAGGTGTACGGTAGACCAATGAAGCCTAGGTCCGTGAAGCCACACACTGCTACTGCTACTGCTACTGCTTCTCGGAAACCCTCCATCTGCCATTCACTTCTTCCAGCACCCCCAAATTGCTCGTTGGCATGCAAAGTCTCATTGAAATCCCCTACACAGAGCCATGGCAGTGAGCTGCGACCCTTGAGCATCTTAAGACAATCCCAACTCCTATATCTTAACTCTCTCCTCGCCTCACCATAGAAACCAGTGAAGCGCCACTTTTCCCCGTTTGTCATTGGATCAAGCACCGCCACATCTATATGAAGCTTGTCAAGACTTTGGAGCTTTACACAAACTTCATATTTCCACAACAGTGCAAGTCCGCCACCTCTTCCATTGGTTCCCACGCCTAAACCATGCGCAAAACCAAGTGATCTTAACAAAACATCCACCCTATCTGAGAAGAAACGAGTCTCAGACAAGAAAACCACCACCGGGCGATGTAGCTCACAAAGGCTACGGAGGTCGCGAACTGCCTCGGGTTGCCCTAAACCCCGGCAGTTCAAGCTTAATATTTTCATTGTGCCCGGCGGGGACTGCCACTTGCAGCCGCCGCCGATCGTGCATTTTGTGAAGTTGTGCCTCTCTTCTGCTTCTTCAGCATTTCCACCATACTCTCACCGCTTTTTTCGGAACCTCCATCTAGCTGGTTCAATCTTGAACTCACAAGGCCTACCGGAACAATGGCATTAGAAGCCTCAGCCGGTACATTAAGGTCTGGGGTCTGCAGGTTTTGGCCAGCCCCCTTCGACTTGCGTTTCCGGGGTAGCCTGGTATCCATGACCGGCTGGCCTTTCCCTGCAGTTCCCTCTGTATTCCTCTTTTTCAACGGTGACTGAACTTCTCTTTCTTCTAGATTTTCCACTGGTTCTGAAGCTGAGAACCGGGATTCGTCTCCCAGAGACGATCGGTCAACACTAGAACGACAATGATCGTTGGATGGCCTGTACGTCGAGGAGCCGCTGCCAAAGGACTCAGCTGCAGCTCCCGCGAAGGACTGTACTCTTCTCCTACGTTCCTCCGGTGCTCTCAGAGGGACATCATAAGGTAGTTTGCCGAACTCATTACGTGGTGCCGGGTGTGGGCAATCGATCTATGAGTGACCCATTAGACCACATGAGAAGCAGTAATAAGGAAGACGTTCATACTACGCCTCAAACCACTTTGGCTCCTCCATCTTGCTCATTCTCAGGAGCACACCCCGACGAAGGGGCTTGTCTAACTCAATAGCAACACGAGCCCGCAGGAAGGCCCCGCTCGCCTTCCCATCTCCATCGACGTCCATTTTCACAACATGGCCGATCAGGCTCATGGCCCGTGTTCCCCGCTGCTGGTTCATCCAACCTAGCGGGAGCTTGAGGATGCGCACCCAAATCTCCATGCAATCAAAGATGATTTCATCAGCACTAAGTCTTTCATCATAAGGCTTGAGAACTACCGCATGCCTTCCTACCATCCACGGGGTCCCCGCAAGGATCCTCTCCATATCGGCCTTTGAACCAACCTCAGCGACGAACATGTTGTCCGCCTTCTCTCCTATAGCTCGGATCTTTAGGCCAAAAGGATTGCCCCAGGCTGGCTTCATCGCCGCCTGGATCGTATTGATGTGTACTGCCATGGGTGAGAGAACCTTCCCCACCACTGCCCACTCCGTCGGAGGGAGATCATCAATCTCCTCATCATCACTGAAATCTACTACCGCTCCTTCTTCCTCTGTTAGATTAAGGCGCTTTAGAAGATCAGAAACACTCGGACTAGGGTTTCCATCCCCGCCGAAAGGAGCCTTCCCGGTCCCCTTACTTCCACCCCCGTCCGACGCCATCAAGGCAACAGGATCAGAGAGGAAAAAACAGTAGCGAACAGTACGCCAGCGAGTGCCGGCGCGATCGCAAAGTATAGCGAAGCCCTAAGCGGCGCTTACTACGGAACTATGTGGTCGGCGGCGCCAGGACGGCTAACCGACGATTTGCGAAGGCCGGCAACGACCAGCGATCGTTGTCGGGGCGTGGACACCAGCAATCGAAGGGATCACCAGTGGAGCAGTCCAGATCGTCGAGGAGACGGTCTAGAACGGGGCTGGGCGAGAGTTCGCTCTCAGAATCGCCAAAGGAGGGGACCGGGAATTACGGATCTCCATCCTGCATGTCCCTCGCTGCTAGCAGACAACATCGCTAACGTTGGGAGCTGCTGTTCAAGTACTTTGCAAAAACAATTTATTGAAATTTTATAGAAAACCAGTTCACAGGAATCTAGAATTTTAAAAGACCAGCATTGAAAAACAGGATCGTACTGATGCTTCCTTGGCAGTATCAAATTGTCTGATGGAATGGAGAAATGCTTTCTGCGTTACTAGCAAGCACACTGAAAGAAAATGTGAAGCCCTGCAGCACATCACCTCCTGCTATTAGCTCATTTTTCAAACTGCCTTTTTGTTCAAGTGATTTTTGTCACTATAAACTTAAGCTTAGTTTTTATCTGAAAACTGAATGTCAGTGTGCAATTTTCAATCAGTCTCTGAATCTCTGAATCCTATTAGTGTGAATAAGTCTCTGAATTTAACAATTTCTCTGATGAAAACCTGTCTTCAGTCTCATTTTTACCTACCCTGTTCTATGTTTGATCATTTTTCCCTGTTGTTTGCATGCCGCTACCGTGAAGCTGCTACCCTGTTGTGTGCATGCTGCTACCATGAAGCTGCTATGATCATTTTTCCCTATTGTGTGCATGCTGTTCAGTTGAAAAGGAATGTTAGGGAGGCTCTTTGTGTGCTTTGGGTGAAAGAATTGTAGTATTATAGCAACATGATTTTACACCACCAAAGAGAATTATTTAGAATTATAGTATGAATATTTGTAATCTTTGGTTGCTTGTTGGTGTAAAATCATGTTGCAACACAATGGTATACTAAAATGATATTCATGATTGATCATGACTACATATAAGTATTAAACCACTTGCAGACAGTAAAATAGACAACTCATGTCTATGTACGAGCTATATGTGTTGTGGATTTTAAAAACTTGCATACAGGTCCTTATCTGTGGGCTGTACATGCCCTTAGACGTTTCCTCATTAAATCAGTTGTCACATCAGATTTTTGCTAGCGTGGCAGGTTCATTTAATTCCTATAGAAACTACCCAGGTAGCTTTGACAACACTCTTATGTATCGAAGCCCTCAACATTCAACCACTGAATCAGTGCCCCTTGCGCACGGCAGGGACATCATATGGAACCTCATACAAGGATCAAGGCTTTGCCCTTCAGGAACAACAGCTCTGCCGGTTAGGATTAGTCTTCTTTTTTGCTGTCTGAATCTTCAAGAGCTTGCAGCCTTTCGACGAGAGGTGGGTGGGAGTAGTGATATGCCGAATACCAAGGATCGGTGTTCATCGCAGACAAGTTCTCCTCCTGAAATTTTTTAACATGCTTTAGAGTGCTGAATGCAAATCTTGTGGCTGTATAACAAAATGTGGGATAAACAACACAATCTTGCTACGGAGGCACACTAACAACACAAGTACAAAGGGACGCCAATCGAAAATGGAGTTACTCGATTATAGCGAGAGGGAAAGCATGCTACATATATGATCACACCTTGCAGTTCAGATATTCTTTAGAAAAATAAACAGTAATGCCACTGTTAACTATAAGAACCACAGAATAAATTAAAATGGCATTACCTGTAGCTTAACAAGGGCCACTCGGAGCTGAGGGGCATATCCAAGGTTCTTGGCAAAGGCATCAGCCTAGAAATGGAATTAAAGTGAGTGCAACCAAAATCTTTAAAGCTGTCAATAGCAGGAAACTTGGAGGCAGATAGAAGAATGACCTGGAATTCAAATGCTCTGCTGACAAGGTTCAGGCAGAAGCTCAGAAGGTGTTGGATGGGTATTATGGTGTGCTGCAATCAAAGCAACGCATGCATTAATCAAGCAATAATTATTATAATGTCAAAAATTCATAGAACAACGCATATAAATTTTCAAGGCAAGTTGAATCGAAAAGTATCACCTTAATTAGAATTCATCTCAAACAGATTTGTCTTGTTAGACAGAATTTAGTAGTTGGTACCAAAAATCTTGAGAAAGAACAAAACAGAATGATGATGCCCGTTATGAACTATACTAAGTGCCTGTTTAGTTCCCAAAATTTTGCAAAATTTTTCAAGATTCCCCGTCACATCGAATCTTTGGACGCACGCATGAAGCATTAAATATAAATAAAAAATAAAACTAATTACACAGTTTAGACGAAATTCACGAGACGAATCTTTTAAGCCTAATTAGACTATGATTGGACACTAATTGCCAAATAACAACGAAAGTGCTACAGTACCATTTCCCAAAAAAAATCGCCAACTAAACAAGGCCCAAAACATACCTGGAAAATGATCAATCCAATTATTATTGGCTGGTCCTCGAAGCCAAAACTTTCAAATAGATCTTTGGAGTTCCTCACTAGAGTATATCCTCCAAATTGAAGAAACATAAGCAGCTGCACAAGAAGCAATAATGAAATGAAAACGGAAAAATTCAACAGCAAGAAAAGGCTGAGTAATAGTCTTTCTCCTTTTTCTTCCAGCAATTCTGAGGGAGTAATCTAGCAGCCACCCATCACAAAACGTCCACTCTAACCATTGGCATCTTGTGGGGGCTTCACTAGAACTATCGCTTTTCATTGGACAACCATAGGTGATACTTATTTAAATAGTAATAGTAGATAATTCGGCGACCAGTTGTATCTGTGGATACAGCTTTTATTATCACTACCACCCAACCTTAGTTTCATCCTTACCTTCCAGCATACCCTGCGCTGGATGATAATGATCCTGAACAGGTCCTTTCAACGAAAGCAATGCCACATGTTTTCTTTGGGGGCAAATTTGCATGTTAAAGAAAATATCACTGGATAATTACACCCCTTTATCGAACAAATACTCAAATGCTAGTGCAGGACACACGACTGGATAAATAAATGGCATGCAAAGGTCAGTTAGTTATTTGAATGAGAGAATACCTGGACAGCTACAAAGGAATAGACAGTATGATTGAGTTTCCAGTGCCCAAGTTCATGTGCAATAACAGAAACTATCTCATCCTCATTGCTACACTGAAATCAACAAAAAAAAGGTCAATTCTATGCATGCATGCCAATGTTTTATGAAACAAAATAACCTAAGTGGTTAAAAATTGACTGAAGGATAGAACCTGCTGAATCAATGTGTCATAGAGTACTATGCGTTTATTCTTGAAAAACCCATACATGTAGGCCTGAAAGAGAATCAATGGTTCAAATAGCAGCACTAAACAGTGTTTATTAGGCAGTAATGAAACTGGACTCAGAACATAGAGTAATTAACATACATTACTGTGGCTTGATCTGGTAGACCCATCTACCACGAAAAGCTTTTTCAAAGGAAACTTGAGGGAAGCTGCCAGCTTCTCTATTTTCTCCCTGAGGACTCCTTCAGGAAGCTGTTGACATCAGTGCAACCACAAAATTCAATCTTAACTCATGCTAATTTAGTGCAAAACAAGAAATAGCAGATGAAGCACGTTTGAGCTATCACTAGAACAAGATACTCACAGGAGTGAACTTGTTGAACAGAGGAGCTATCACAATTGGGTATATTGTCATCATCAGAAGAGCTAATACGAACATAAAACCCCAGAGATAAATAGCCAGGTAAGGTCCTCCAATCTGAAAAAATACAGAAAAAAATGAAAGAATCAGCTGATGCACTTAGATGACACTACCATAAGTCACATGTGATTTTGATTCTGTGGACCTTGGAAAAAACAACTAACAAAACAGGTCAAAGAAAAAAAAATGTGCTGTGCACATAATTGTTAATAACTAATTTTTAAACAATTGAACAAGAGGAGTTACCTGTACTATGTAGATGATAGCAGCAACGATTGGTGGCCCCAATATCATGGATAGTAAAATTCCTTTGATCATATCCCTAATGAAGAGCCATATAGTTTGCTACAAGGTATGAAGCAAGAGAAATCTCAGTATAAAAATATCAGGAAAATGAAGATAAGAAATTCATAAGCCCAGTTACTTCAGTACTTATCAAACACTGCAAGTTGCCAAATATCAAACATATATTCCTACCTAGTTAAATAAAAGGTAAAAATAGAAAATGTGAACGCACCTTGTTAAAACCATGCCGAGCCTCTATAACAAAAGTTGAATAAAGAGAGAACGGCAAGTCTGTAATCTGCATTTCATGAAGTATGCATTATTGTTTCACATCAATAGTGGATATGACAATCATTTGTGCTCTAAATGAGAAGCTGTTTCTCTAGAAAACAACAAAATGGCACAGTTCTAGTAGGGCTGATTGTGGACACAGCAATGATCAGATTCAAAATTAAAGCCATGGTTAGTCACCGAAGCAATCAACATGAAACGATGGTTACAACCCAAAAGAACTCAAAATATTGATCCATGCAAATTTGAAATAGATTAATTAAATGCACCTTGAAACTGCTTTTTAAACAAAATCTAAGCATTTGTTGAAATGTTAAATAGACATGGTGCAGTAATATGGTAGAAGATAAATCACATCTTTTCATTTTTTTCTATAAACAGAAATTTCAAAATCATGAAAATAAATTGGCCAAACAGAGAGCAAGTACTGGGATAGTCACAAACATTTTAGGACCCAAAGCACAGCAGGGCATAGTGTGCATCAGAGTGTGTATAGATATCACAATTCACAATGCTCCATTCTCAGTCCTCACTCATAGGTCATAACACTTACTACCATCATAGTCAGATGATCCGGCACTAATGTTATAGCACAATAACACTATTGGTTCAACAGAACGAAGTAAATGCTGTACATATTCCAGTTTAAGTGCCAAAAGCTACAGAAGCTATTCAGATATATTATAGATGGGTATAAAAGGATAAATGAATTTAACAAAGATTATGGTTTAGGGAGGAGAATTATTAGTACCTGTGACCAAACCATGGCACCAGCTAAGAATGCAAGGGTGTGTATTATCTGATTCTCAGCATTCAGGCCAACATTGGTAACTAACTCTCCAGATTTCTGCAGAAAGATCTGATCTAGTCACAAACCAAAACACCTGCATAAGGAGATTGATGGAAGCAAAGGATTTGTTTTACCTTCCAAAACCAGGGAAGAACTCTATAGTACAGTATTGTGGTATCCATTAAAATAGTCACAGCCTCATGAACAAAATGGAAGTAGCTGTAAGATAAAGCAAAAAAGCTTCAATATCAATAATCTAGAATTCTAGATAGACAAGCCAGCTAATGGATTTGGGCGTCAGAAATGATTTTAAAATGAAGTTTGCAAAAAGGGACAACAGTGTTGTATGAACCTTTTGTCGAGGCTATAAGCTCTAGAGCGTTCAAACTTTTCATCGCTAATTACTCCCAGCAGGGGTTTTGGCAAAGTTGGCAGCTTGAGGGCTCTATGCTGACGAATGTCAAGATATGTCTCAAATATGTACATGAGAATCATAAAGCCTGCAACGCATATACATGTTTAGAAAAGCATCAGTCACAACTCACACCAAGTAAACAACAACAACAACAATACCAAGTAAATAACGATGAAATTAGACATATCATGTAATCAAGTAATAACAAAATCTAAATTGTTGGCTTTATTCGTAATAGTTGTCAACAAACCCTAAACTAACACAGCCCCATATGAAAGGTAAAAGAAGTTGATAACAATTTTTTTAAAAAGAACGATTACCAAATTCTATTGCTAGGAACCATTTTACACTATTTAGACATCATCAAATCTGCAAGATATTGCATATTGATAGAGAAAGAATGGAGCTTTGCATCACAAAGTGAGCTGATTGAGTTAGCATGTCACAGGCGTCCCCACCCTCGCTCCACTAATGAAAAATCATGGGGGCCTTCAGTTCAAGTTGTACTCTAGGAACACTGAATCACTTGATAACATCGTGCAACATTCAATCGCTCGATATTAGAATCCTGTGTGCATCAATTTTTTTAGAGTTGCAGGGCAAACAACCCCAGTCCGTATGCACTGCAACAGGACAAGTTCAGCGCTTTAGAGATCATAGTTCACACAATCGGTCACACAGTGCATCAGTTCATCACACTCCCAAAGCTTATCGCAGTCGTCAGGCCCACACCACATTACGCTCACTAGATTTCACAAGGGCAACCAAAACACACATCAGTCGTCCGGGCGCCCAATCGGTTTCGCGGCATGGTCAAATCCAGCCGCGCCAAATTCCCCACCACGCGACTCCCAAACCCTAGGGTTTAAACAGGGATCCCGCGTCTTCTGACAAACCAAGACAACCAGCGAGTGACTGCTACGGCATGAAAGGAGCAGCAGGGAGGCGGGGACTTACAAAGCACGGCCTCAAGGTAGGGCAGCGCCATTGCAGCCGAGGGAGGCGGCGGCCGAGGTGGCGCTTTCGGAAGCCGAGAGGCGGAGCTGAGGGCTGAGGCGAGGGATCGCGGCGGGGGAAGGCGGAGGGAATATTATGAAGCGGGGAAGCGTGACGCGGCGCACGCGCTGGATGCTTTGCTCGATTCCGGCATATTTAACTTTTTAGCGTCGAATAACAGCTTTAGGCTCCATTAATTTTCATTCCGTTAACACTGCATTTTGGTCGACTTCGAAAGATGACAGGTGGACCCGCATACAGAAAGAAGGACATTCGGCAAACAAAACGAGCGGTCGGCTAAATGCTTGTGCGGTTGGTTACTTCAGAAGGTGGTGACTCCATTCGGAAAAGCAGAAGATGGCAGGCAAAGCCGATCGAAAAGATGAAAGTTGTAATAATAAAGGACTCTGAGAGTTTAGGGCAAGAAATCATAGTTTTCAAGTTTGTTTAAGAGTTCCTTTGTAAATCGTAGTCTTTTAGAACTCGTGTTTTGTCTAGGGTATAAATATTGACCCTCGACCATTGTAATAGGCGTTCACAACCAAATCAATACAACCGGCCCCGTGCCAACTTTCGAGTCTTTTTGTCGTGTCGTCGAGTTCTTCGAGAGGAGTCATCGATCCGTCAACCTCCGTAAGTTCCGACAACCTTGTTATCATGTTTAGTATCATGCGGTGGATTTAGACGTGATGCAAGTAGTCTTGTTTGTTTTCAATGATCGTGCGGCGAATCTTTGCTTGACAATCAAGAAGTCTTTGCTTATGCTTTGTTTATGAGTAGATACCGTGTGGCAGGCGTTTGCTCAATATGCTTAGTGAAGACAAGACAGTTATCGGCTCTATTAGATACGGCAAAATCTAAATAGATTCATTAAGTTATCCTGTGTTGCATGTTTTAAATATTTTATATATTTGTAACACACTTATGTCCAATCTAGATTGATATTGTTCGGCCCTCTCTTATGGTTTTATTGGTGCTTCAATGATCATTACTTTCGTATTACCTTTGCAAATAGATAACATGCTCGTAATGGCTGAATTATTTTAATCTAGATTGTCACATGTCGTGGGTTCATGCATGCTAATTACGTTTAAGCTTTGACGAAACCAGGTGTCGTGCGGCAGATGCAGGTTTTAGATTAGTTTAATCGTGTTTATTTGCACGTTCCTTCTTCATGGACCCCAACTCGGCTGGATTGCTGAGCTTGGTTATGCATTAACTCATGATTAATTTCACTTGTTCAAACATGTCTTTCCATGCACATGCATTCGGCAATCGGATCTTTACGTGTGCTCATCTTACGATTAGCCGAATGGTTTATAAACTTGCTGGCAGATAGCTTTCTATAGCTGTATGTCGTTGTAAGTGGCTTCAGGGCCGTATATATGGGCTATGCGGTCTCACCCGATATGTTCCGGTTTGGCATTTAACTGTTTTATCCCTTGTTAGTTTTTTCAGGTCAAACCGACCGGCACGCGTTCCGGATCACGAAGCACCCGGGCACCCAATTGAAGCCACGCTTTCCGGCTTGCTGTGTGTGGGGGCACAGTGCGTCACATTTTGTGTCAACACACTTTTTGGCACGCCCAGTGGGACAATCTATTAGTTCAAGATGGCGTCTGAGATCAACAATGATCATGTTCGGATGTGAGCATGGCGAATTGCAAGCGATAATTATAGGGATTTAGTGCTACAAGCATGTGAGCAATACCAACGGAAGTGTTTGATATCTTTTTCAAAAACAAGAGCAATAAAGTGTTTCAAAAGCGGTCAATGCCAAGGGTTCTTCTTCCACATCAAACCGATTACATGAAGAGGAGGATGCTCGGAAGATGGCATACTCGGTTTATAAAGCTATGGGAGAAACCATGACAAACCATCACACGACTTTTTCGAATACCTTTCGGGCAATCATGATCAGTACTTTTGGTCCAATGGTTGATAAGTACTTTGAAGAAAATGTTGGCCCACTCGGTGGACCGACACTTTTCAATGTTCCAAAGCATCAAGAGAAGCTCTCTTGGAAAAGAAGCACCATCGACTTCAAATATAGGTGGATTGACTCACCATCGGAAAGCAATCACATCCCACCTATGGCTGGGTAACATTTGGTACCACAGAGAAGTGCCACCTTCAACTTATAGAGTTTCTCCAAAGATCAAGCAGATTGCGAAGAATATATATGGAGATGCGTATCAAGAATTTCTTGATTACAATGATATCAATGTTTGTGCCAAATCCAGGTATAGGAGTGTTTTGAGGATTGCCTTACGGAGTACAAGTACAAGTAAAATCGAGATTCGAGGCATTGATGTTTTGATGCAGGATGGCCGATATGATGCGTAATCGGTTGGCTTGAAGCCAAAAAATTAATCCTATTCATCCAAGTCTCCTTACCCGAGTGGTACAACAGAGTGGCGTTACCTCCAAGGGTGAAGCCTCCAACGGATTTGACCAAGTTTTTTCGGTCAAGATGATACTAGTACCATAGAGCACGTCGATTCGGTACTTAATGCGACTTTGGAGAAGTCGCTTCGGATGAAGCTTGGAGGATTCGATATTTTCCTTTGTCTCTTACAGGACCAGCTTTCACATGGTTCACGTCTTTACCAAACTCATTCCATTGGTACGCAAAGAGCTAGAGCAGAAGTTTCATTCATATTTCTACACGGGTACTAATGAGAAGAAGTTGGTCGATCTCATGAGTCCGAGGATGAGAACAAATGAGACACCATTGGAATATCTTCGCAGATTTAGGGAGATGAATATGTGTTATTCTCTGAATTTACCGGATGATCAACTACACGGAATAGCTATAGCAGGGAATGTTGCCGAATATCAAGGAGAAGTTGTTCGGCATGGAGTTTGATGATCTTGGCCAACTTGCACACTGCGTTTAGCGACTATGAGTAATCGTGCCCAAGGATTCAGAGAGATAATCGCTTTCGTAAGAACAATGCCACTAATGAGGTGTATCAAGGTTTTTCGAAGGAAGCGGTCGAGTATATTGATGAAGATGAGATAGCAGTGCAATTGAGTTGAATTGGGCAAAGGAGCCTACTCAAATTAGTCAATATTTGGTTGAAAAACAACAAAAGGAACCTATGATTTTGATGTTACTAAGGCGATGTGCTTTTTGCATTATTGATGAAGGAAGGACGCATCAAGTTGCCGAAGGACATCCCATGCTAAATCCCGAGGGAGTGAAAGACAAAAAGTATTGTGGCTTCCATAACACTAATTCTCACTCTATCAATGATTGCCGAGTGTTCAGAATACGAATCCAGAAAGCTATCCAAGAGGGACATTTGAAGTTTGATGGCAAGATAAAAATTGATGATCAGCCTTTTCCACAAAATATGATTTCTTTCTCTGTGAATATGGTCTCTGCCAATGATCTCAAAGGTAAAGGCAAGATGAAGGTGTTGACTTCTGATAGAGCAAAGAAAAATGGTGTTGTTGACCCGGTTCGGCAAGTCACCAGTAGAGAGCTGCAGCAACGAGTTTGGTTTTAGAATAGCCGAACCGAGAAAGGTCAAACTTCTAAACCCAGAGTTACATCACGTATTTTGCTAAACAAGTGGCAGAGAGAGCAAGAGAAGGAATACTATAAGAAGCAATGGTTTATGGAAGAATGCCGGAGGTATGAGGAAGAGGTATACCGAAGGGAGCAAGAAGAATACATGATAGAACAGGAGCAATCTCATTGGGGTTGTTCATTCTTTAGGCATTGTTGGAATGAAGGCTTGAGGTTACCTGCTAGAAATAATTGTCCGGAGTGTAGTGCTCAGTACTCCGAGTATAGGCAATCTCGAGTCAACCACCGTCCCGTCTATGAAAGACTTGGAACGAAGGTTCCTGAAGATGATCGGCGCTTAAAAATAGATGATTTTGAGAATCAAAGCAAAGGAAGAGATTTTTGGTGTCGAGGTTGGATTCATGATAGAGTGCATGATGAAGAAGTTGATTCCTATAGATACGTATGGCAAAAAGGACGGTGGTGTCCTCCGTGGCCGAGGAAAAGTTAGAAAAGAAAAGTTCAACGGTTGAGGAATAGGGAGTTGAAACAGAAGTTACGAAACAAACAAATATGGCGCCCCTAAGAAGAAGCCCGATGAATGTGGTCCTTCGGTGATGCTTGCATGGCTTTCTTCCTCCCATCGAGTTTATAGCTCCCCAAAGCCAAGATGTCTAAGAAGAGGTGTACTCGATTTTGATGAAAGTGAATGTCGAGAATTTGATGGACCAACTTGTATTAACACAAAGAAAGCTATTTTGACAAACCAATCAAGAATCGTCACTTGAGACCACTCTATTTAAAGGGATATGTCAATGGCAAGCCTTTAACTAAGATGTTTGTTGATGGAGGGCTGCTATCAATATCATGCCTTATACTACCTTGTAAAGCTTGGGATGACTAATGAAGAATTGTTGAAAACCCGACATGGTGCTTAGGGACTTTGTTGGCAATCCTTCCGATACCCGAGGTGCTATCCATGTCGAAGTGACTATTGGGTCGAAAACTCGATTACTACCTTTTTTGTCATTGATGGCAAGGGGCATATAGTCTACTCTTGGGCGGTAGATTGGATCCATGCTAATTGTTGCATTCCTTCGACCATGCATCAAATTCTCATTCAATGGATTGGAGATGATGTTGAAGTTGTACATGCCGATGATTCGGTAAGTGTGGCGCCACAGAATCTACCTCATCGGGAATATGAAGGCGTCGATTGTTTCTCCGGAAAAGTGTGGAAAGAAGGTCCTGTAAATGTTTTCAATGAGGGCCAACACCGATCCAAGCAAATCGGCTCTCCTAGTAATTTTAATGGAAAATCTGTCGATGGCAATAAAGGAAAGTTGGGACGTGGTTTTATGTCGGTGATAAGTTGGAAGAAATTGATGTTGGTGATGGTTCTAAGCCAAGGCCGATGTATATTAGTGCAAAGTTAGACCCGAATATAAATCGAAGTTGATAGATCTGTTGAAAGA